CCGAAACCTGAGTCAGGAAACACTGCACACACTCTGTTTGCAGTTTAATCACAAGTTATACACGACAATATCTGACTTCAGAATTGCAGAACTGCCATCACAGACGGCAACAGGCATATTGTGATCCATTTCAAAGATAACAGTTACAACGGAAGAAGTCATTTAATGTTTTTAGCTGTTTTTTAAGAATAATACAGCCATCGCAGCGGTTTCTCGTCAGGCTGTACTTTGGCACAGCGTGCTTTGAGGCGTTGTCATTGCTTTGTTTTGAAGGGGCTTGTGCAAGTAGCTTACCCATTCGTCAGTGTTCCCACCTACACAGAGTACGCTCAACCATGCCCCCAGTTGGAGCACCAGCGCAGCACGACGACCAGCATGAAGGCATTATGTCTAAAATGCTGCCCCCCGTCACCGGCCAGGTCTGCATGATGCTCTCTCACGATGCATGATTTACTGAAAACCTTGGTGAGAAAGAAAATGCCCCCACATACTCTTGTTTTCCAGTGTTAATCGACAATTATTTTACAGTGCGAGTAAAGGTACCATATTACTTACTCAGAATTAGAACAAACCGTTCATCGGCTATACAGCTTTCTTGTGATCCTCTTTCAAAATAACAGTTAAAGGTAAGAGGAGTTCTTGTTTTAGTCAGTTTAACTCGTTGTTGTGTCAAACTGTCAAGCACCATGACTCTAACCTTCATTTTGAAACCAAACTATCTCACGCCAGGATGCATCAGTATCAGTTGTTGATCAAATTTGTTACAGTTAACATCTTAACCATAATTTTATTAACCATGTTATATAGTATTTGTATTAAAAAAGCATGCATTTTTCAACGGCTTGGACATAAGCTAGTTCTCATCTGTTACTTTTTCACTTTTACGTTCAGTGGGAGACCAAACTACATACAGCTCTTTACAACCACAGGAATTTGGATACTATCATGATAATGACTAAGCGTTGCTTGGATAACTAAGGGTTCAGCATATATAGGAGAGAAATTATTTTGTTTACACATTGATGCTGATTTTGAAATTCATTTACTTTACAGATTAAAAGGGTCTCACTGTGGTGGGAAACCCAGTACAATTAAACTTATTCTTTCGATAACAATGCTGTTTGAGTTTAAATTCCACAGGATTCTCCTCCGGACGGGGCCCCCCCCCAAATTGAGATCTAGGGTGAAACAGTCACCCACTTCAGCATCTGAAGGAAGCAGTCTTCAACTAGCTAACCCTGCTTTCAGCTTATCACTCCCTGTCCACAACTCCTCCTAACTCACATGAATTCTCCAACAAGACTATCACAAACCCAATTTAGGAGAAACACAGGATCAAACCTTCACAACTAAAAACCAAGGAGACATCACTCTGCTCAGACCAAACATGATTGGATACAACACTCTCACCTGTTCTGTCAAGATATCCTGTGGAATGAAGGAAAAGATAACAGAGAGCAGAGAGGAGAAAGACTTCTCAGTGTTTACAATGTAAGACAACCAGTGTTAATGTTCATTGAGATCCTGTCACAATATGATGATTCATGGAATTCAGCTGCATTTTTAATTCAATAAAGTTAGATCGTCACATTTTCTCAGCATTGCTCCTGAAAGACATCTCAGTGTTCCATCTAGGTCCATCAAGTATATTTGGTGTCAGCAGGTAGCTTGGTGAGACCTGACCTGCTCCAGCAGAGCCAAGCCTTCCCATCAGCCGGCTTCACCTCGGTTCAAGAACAGCAAAATGGACCCATGAATGTATCTGAAACCGTTTGACAAGGTTCAAGATGTGACAGATGGGGAGATTAATTACTGTTGTGGCTACAAATGATTATTTGGTACATTCAGTTCGTCATCATTGGATTGAATTTGCAACGTGCAGGGAAATTGTAGAAATTAGAACTGAATCTGATTATTTTGTTACTCTTTTGTGAGATGAGAGACAGATAAACTTTAACTTGAAGAGAAACACACATTATGAAGTGGTGGGTGGAGAGCATTAATTGTTTTCATCATGGATTCTTCTGACAAATAAAGTTAAACAAACTACTGTATCTTCTAGTGAAATAAACAACATAATCTAAAAAATTAGGTTGATACAACGTATAAAGTCAATATAAACTATTTACAAAGAAAAGTGTTGTTGATAGGACATGAAAACAGAGTTTTGTGAATGAGAGGAGACTTGACAATATGGGAAAATAAAAAAGGAGGCTGATAATGGAAAACAAGCGGAAAGCAACCCAAAAAAGGAGGAAAAGTTAAATAAAAGATTTTTCACAATGAATTTAGTTTTATTATAAAGCTTTATTACATGAAAACTGGGTGACAGCCATAATTCTTAACTTGACATAGTCACTTTTTTTTTTATATTTTTGTTTCTGTAGGAGCAAAACAGCCTGGTAGCTCTTCACCATTGGGGGCAGTTGTTGGAGGGATCATTGGGGTCATTGTACTCATCTGTGTGGTTGCTGCCATTTGGTAAGTATCTCAAATGAATTTCATATCCAGATCTATCGATCCAAAACAATTGTATTATTTTTAATGTGTGATTATCTTAATTACACTTGGTATTAGTTCTTTTACAGCTCTGATCTGCATTTGAAACTGCTGATTATTCTATTTTGACTGACTGTCTTAGAAAAAGGGTGAAAACTCAGGGTCAGGCAGTTTTAATTTGATTTCTTCAATATACGTGTTTGCAGTTACTTAGAATTCAACGTCACGTGTGCATTTGTGGAGTTCCTCAAGGTTCAATACTTGGGTCGTTACTGTTGTGTCAATGTGCAGCCACAATTTCACAGCATACACAGAACACAGATATTCAGTTTTATGTAGATGACATCATTATTTTATCTTGAGTCTCTCAATAACACATAACTTTACTTCAATGAGATAAATGGGTGTCTGAGTCAATGATTGGAAGTCACAAAATATTTCACAAACTAATATTGACAATTCAGTTTAGTAAGAAAAGATCCTGTCTTCAAATGTATTTCACTGATGATTTTTAAATTGTATTTAAAGCGTTTTTGTAACTGATGTATTGAAACTTGTTAAATACATAAAGGCTTAATGTTATTATTGTAATTATTATTGTTGTTGTTATTATTACACAAACAATTAAGCTGAGTGCCTTCTTATGTTTTCCAGGTGGTTAAAATCAAAACACACAAGTTCACAACAGACACAGGTGAGATAATACTTAAATGTAAAGTACAGAACTGTCTGTCATAAATAGGTTTCTAATGATTCATAGTGACTGCACTCATAAGACCTAGATGTTCCTCTTCAGTGAGTAAAAATAGAGAAATACAGGAAATGTGATGAAACATCCTGTTAACAACCCACACTAACAATCCACTATCAAATACACTTTCACATTATTTTTCAAGTATATTTTGGCGCAGCAACTAGATTTTACATTTTCGTACCCAGTAAAAGCAGAATATTGTGATGTCGCTTTGTTATAGCAATGGGAGCTAAGTGAGAGGAAGGAAGTAGATGAAGGTTCAACATTTCTCTTTTGGTACAGTTTTCACAGAGCCTAACAACTAAGGAGCCAACTGTTCAAAAACCAGCCAGATCAGCGGAAAAAGAGGAAATCCATTATGGAGAAATCGACTTCTCTAAGTGGAGACCTGAAACATCCTCTGCCTCAGTACAGGACAATGCACTGCAGCAGGATACACTGTATGCACAGGTCAAAGTGTCCAAAAAAGCAAACCGCTTAACACAGACTGCTGACAACCCAGAGGCTCTCTATGCTCAAGTCAAGAAAAAATGAATATGGACGCATCTTTTTTTAAACAAATAATGTTCATTAATACAAGGAAATCAATAATGCTAATTCTAATTCATCACACGTAGTATGATTTGCTCAAAACATGCATCTTATTTATTTATTCATAGATTTGTGTTTTGATCAATGATCAAGTGGAGTCATTGTGACCCACATTTGTGAGTAAACATGATCAAAATCATACCATTTGATGACAAGAAATTTTAAATAACTAAGAGGAATAGTTACTTGACTTATGACAAATGTTTTTTATATCAAGCTTAAATTGATAGCAACAATAAATACCGTACAAACAAATGTGACATTTCCTGTATAAATAAGATGATGACAAATAAATTAGTCAAATATTTGCACAATCTAATTTGGTTGAGTTTACATCCCCCTCCTCTTCTTCCTGTCTCAAGATACAATCAGTAACTGAGAAATTGGTGTTTTTTCTGCAGACTGTCTGTCTAAAGTTCATGTGCTATCTAGCTCATTTACAATCTAAACCAACTGGAGTTTAATTAGCAACAATTAAGTTGAAATTTTGTTGAAATACTGCAAACTCACTTCTTTGTTGTTTTAATATTAAAGATGTAATATGTAAGAATTGACCACCTGTTGAATTCATACTCCAAAGAAATAGGGAGCAGCACATCACCAGAGTAACCACTATGTGCAGCTGCTGTAAGAATACAGCTCAGTCCCATACAGTCTGTGGGAGGTCTGGAGGAGTGTTGGTGTGGCACGAAGACCACCTTGCTGTTCTTGGACTGAGGGCGTACTGGACACTACAGTGATTCACTATAGCCTTTTGAGCTAAAATGTGGTATTATGAGCCAGGGCTAGCTGGTTAGCATGCTAACTTCGGTAGATGTCTCTTCAACACCAGACGCCTTTGAGATAACATCAAAACTGTTATTTCTGCATGATCTATTGATAATTGTAGTTATTTTTTTAACCTTTTAAACTAAATTTACTTCATACTGAACCTTTAAAGGTCTAGTGTGTAACATGTAGGAGGATTTGTTACCAGAAATGCAACAAATATGAATTGTCATAATCACCTGAAAATGAGAATAATTTTTGTTGAGTCTTTTATATCTACAGATGTTGCAGGTGGTCTTCCATGGAGACCACCATGTTAAACCACCATATTCCCACAGTAGGCCAGAAGAGACAAACCAAACACTGGTTCTAGCTAGGGCCGTTCACACGTTTTATGTGTTTCACAGCCACCATAGTTTCTCCTTCATGCTTGGACAGGGAGGGTGAAGCAAGGGTGTTACACTACAAGATGCCACTAAATCCTACACACTGGTAGTGCAACACTGCAGATGTAGAAGCCTTATTACATATGTTCAGTTATATTCAATAATGTTAGTCTTTTTCTGGATGCTGTACTTCCTTCTGAACCTGAGATTGAAGTATCAAAGAAGAAGCAGGTGCCTGAAACATTCTTCAACATTGACCTCCAGGCAATGTGGGAGGAAGCTGCAACAAAGGGAGGTTTTGTACAATAAATAATTACCGGGTAGTCATGAATATACTTGTACATGAATACTGTACTTCAGTATTTTAAAGAGTGTATGAGAGTTTTTCAAAGTATGCTGTAACTGTGAATTATATTTTAATTCAAAAATGTTTCTTTTGCCAGGGGAAGCTTGCTTAGGGCGCTGCATGTGCCAGGTCCGACACTGACTCTGTAGTTTTGAAACATGGGAAGTCAACTTGGTTTTAAATTACAACAGATAAAAAGGGGTGTTGGTTATTTGGTGTGCTGCACTTCAACTCAATTTCAAAAACTGAAGTATTTCCACTTTAAAATCATAATCACCACCAAAGGATTTCCTTGCTGCTCTCTCTCTCTCTGTTGTGTGTTTGTCTGGTAAGACAAGATTAGTTTGTTACTCTTTACAAATTCTACAGAAAAATGAATATACAATTTAAATATCTTATTTGATGAGGTCTTCTTTAGAAGACTTCAGATGTAAGAAGTGTGAAGTTACTTGAGCATGAAAAAGCATAAATCCACCAGTGTGGTATTATTCAGAATTTACTTTAAATGTTGTGTTTGAAACTGCAGTTTTGAAGAGGTTAAATGATCCTATTTATAACACTGTGAATCCTGGTTTTATGGTGGAATTTTCTGGTGTGAGTGGGTGCACTTTAAGATATTGTTACAAGTACACAAATTATTTATAAAACCTCCACAAACATATTTTAAACTAAACTGCACTATTGTGTTTGTAAATCCAGGTGATGAGTGTGATTGCAGTCCTGTCTGTGAATATGGTGACAGCCAACATGTTACTGAGTGTCTTCTCCCTTTCTTTTCAAAAAGCGTTGACGGCTGTTTGGGTTCAAGTCCATGTTTATTGTGGAGACGTTAAATAATTACAGTTTGGGAACTTTCAATTTAGAAAGCAAAAGCAGAAAACAGACCAAGTGCAGAATTAGAGTTACTTTTTCCCAACTGTTTTCATGTATCCCTGTAACTGGCAAAAAGTGAAAAAATGTTCTTCTATAGGAAATTTTGTTAACAGACAGGGAAAAAGAAAAACCAGCCATGCAACCACAACTGCCCTGATTTGTTTTTAATTCATGAAACTTTTCTCTTCATGCTGAATTTTTTCCCACATTTTTGGTTCAGTCCAATGGAGTCCCTGGAAAAAATTTTAACAGGGTTGTTTTGGCCCTTGATTGTCCCTCAAGACTCCCAAACCTCCTTCAACTCAAACCTGCACCAAAGAAAGAATGGAAGCAACTGAAGTGAACTCTCTGTGTGTTTGCCAAATTCCCATGGATAATGTTGTGACAGACCGCGTGGCAACCAGAAACAAGAGTTTCAAACAGCACCAGCAAGGCACAGGACACGAGGAGGGGCCGTGTTCCGGGAGCTCGGGTGCGAGACCCTTCCAAAACCAGCTCATCCGCCCCCAGGCTTTTGGGCCTTTAACACACATCCAAACACATGGTGACATTTTTCAAACAGTAGTGGGGGAAACCAGTTAAAACCCACGTATCCAATGGAGTATTAACTGGAAAACCCCCTGGGAAGGTCCAGAAACAACACAAAACTGCAACCACTCTGGTTTTTTTCCCCCAGTTTAATCAACAAGTTATACCAGACACATACTACTTTTCAGATCATGGAACGCTGCCATACAAGACAACCAGCTGCTTGGGTGATTCCCTCTTTCCCAAAATAACAGTTAAAGGTAAGAGAAGTTTTGTTTCGCCTTTCAGTCAGTCCCTATAATGTTAATTCTTTAAGACACTAAAACAAAAAAATAGGCGCCAGTTTTACCATTAAAAAAACCAAACAATGTATAGTAATTATGTTTTTCCATCAACCCACAGAAAAGTCTCCTCCGAAGCCCCCCAGAATCTGAAGATCCCAAAGGTGGGATCCTTGAAAGGAGAAAGCCCCCAGTCTGTCCCACTCAAATAGACCTGGCTCAAAGCTTTCACTCTGGTCAGACAGTCTTAAGTCTACAGCCTGGGAATCCTCCAACAAGGACTCTCCAAGCCAAATACGAAGAAAACACCAGACTCGAAGCCCTTCCACAACTAAAAATCCGGAGAAACATCACTCTGTTGCCAGACCCAGACGATGAAATGGTACAACACTCAACGCTGTTGCTTTTCTGCTCAACGGTTATCTGCTTCTTGGCACAATGCAAGCGCAAGAAAAAAGGACTAACAACGAAGCGAACACAGCAGGGAGGAGAAAAGGCATTCCTACGCGTGTTCTCTTCAGTGCGCGCGTGACAGGACAACAGAGTTTTGTTATCTGGATCTGTCAGGAAATATGCATCATTCCATGGCGCCGAATCGTGTCAGCGGATATCTGTTTTAATAAAATAAAAGTTTAATCTCCACCAATTGTTCCTCAGAAATGCTTCCTAAAAAGAACCACCTCAGGTGGTCCATCAGTCATCAAGGTTTGGTTTGTCCGCCCAGGTAGCTGGGGGGTGGGAACCTCGAAAACCTTGCTTCCCAGCAAAAAGAAGCCCAAAGGCGCTCCCGCGTCAGGCCCCGCTTTTTTTTTTCACCCTGCGGTTCCAAGAAACAAGCAAAAGCAAAAATGGACCATGAAAATGTTAATCTTGGGGAAAGGACGCGTTTTAACAGCTTCAAATGTGGACAGATGGGAGGAGTTTTTTATTACTGGTCGTGGCCCACAAGAAAATTGATATTGGGCAAAATGAAACATCATCAGTTGAATTCCCGTCTTTAATAAGTAAAAGGTAATACTGAACTAGACTGAATTTAACACTTTATTCTTTGAAAGGTGAAAATGTTGTTGCAGTGGGCTTACAAGTTTTGTTGCCATGCCTTTGGTTTTTTTTTAAGTTGTAAATTAAATTTTGAGTTGTTTTCTAGGAGCTGAAACAACCCAATGGCAATCTCATAAAAACAAGTGGGGCAGTTCTTGGAGGGAATTATTGGGATCATCAATGCCTCATCTGCCTGGTTGTCTGTGTTTGGGTTAAGGTACCACAAAAAATTCAAAAGCAGTCCTAGATCTTGACTCAGTAATTTCAGCTTACAGTCACATTCATGGAAAATAGAAAGGACAGATTGAATTACAATGATTTTTACTTCTCTGTATCCAACTTCTTCAGTCCGTCTTACAATTCTTTCTACTTCAGTTTTACCTATCCTTATCTAGATTTCTCTTTATTCGGGTTATTTTACAGCATTCTTGTGGCGGGGAGGCGGGGGGTTGAAGTCCCCACAGATTCCCAAACTCAGCAAAACAAGAAAATCAAGGGGTTGGGAAAAATGCCTAAACCTCTGGTTACCAGCACTGCAAACTAATAAATGTGTTGCATCTGCCTCCACAGTGGACTGGCGCTGGGCTATGCAGGCATTATACGGACAACATATAGGACTGAACCAAATTAAATGGGACAAATTTAAATGTCTTTTAAGAACGTAAAAAAAAGTGCTGGAAGAAACAAGTTGCGTGGGACAAACATCATCCTGTTTGGCAACCCACCTGGTGAATTTGATTGAAAAAACCCACACAAAGAGTCACCAAGTGGGTTTTAAGCTCTTTTTTTGATACAATATAACGGATGTCTGCCTGCGCCTGTCCCAAGTAAAAGCTGGGATCACAACTCCAACAATCCAGAGTGAAAGTCCACATCCCAGACTACTCACCAACATTGTCATGTTCTTGCAGGAGTCCAACAAGGTAAAAGAGCTGACTGTCTGCCAGATCAGTCCAGAAAAACCAGCAATGGAGGACGGAACGGAAAACTCCATCTATGGAGAGATCGACTTCTCAAGAAGGAGACCTGATAACCGTCCTCTCTGCACTCAGTGCAAGGACACGGTCGTGACAGAAGCAGGAACCGCTGTATG